ACTGAATGCCAACAAACGGTTCGCCAACAAAGGCATCAAAACCAATGGTTCCGAGAATATAGTGATGAAAGTGAGTGACCAGTCATCGGATCCGCTGAAGAAACGCAAGAATCTGTTCGATGACATGGTCTCCAAGAAGTGCCACTCCAGTGACTCGTCCGGCGCTTCCAACCGAGGCTTTCATTTTGGCACAAATTGCGGTCAGATTTTTGTGGAGAATCTGAAGTACGAAGTGATTGAAGAAGACATCCGACAACTGTTTGACGCCTTTGGGTCTCTCAAGAGAGCGGCCATTAATTACGAGAAGAGCGGCCGCTCCTCGGGAACAGCTCTCGTGGTCTTTGAAAGCAAATCCGATGCCATCAATGCTTTGAACACTCTTCAGAACATAACTCTCGATGGTTTGTATCATCTCTCGGATTATCTCTGTATTGACATTACATTGTCTTCTCAATTACAGACCGTATGCTTGTATTGACACTAATCGATGGCAACACTAATAGTCAAGAGTTGGGCCTAAGAGAGGCTAATCTGAACGCACGGCTTAAGCAGTCGAAGCAGGGGTCGAGCGGTTCCGGACGCGACCTCTGGTCTGATTTAGCCATCAATTATGACAAGAATGAAGAGCAAAGTTTTGGTCGAAACAAACGGTTCTCGTATTCGAGTGACAAGAAGGAGAAAGAGGTGTTCAGTGCCCAAGACTTGGACGAAGACCTCGACTCCTATTTGGCTCAACGGAGCAAAGAATGACTTCTTCTCAGACTTGATATTCATCTGACATTTCATTATATATTTATCACATTTTTTGCATTTTGTTCCCCTTTTATGCGATAGTCACTGATTTTTATGCATATATTTGTTACAAATAATGTTTCCTAAGATTTGATTTTTTGTTTAAATGACTTATAGTTTGTGTTAATTTTTGGAAAATTTCTTTCATTTAACCATTTGATTGGCATTTCGTTTGCTATTACTTACAAATAGTTTGTAAGCAATAGTCTATTACTTGGATATTATATTTGTATATTAAAAACAGCACGTGTTATCACTAATTGCAATAAACTACAGATTATGTTCATGTTTTCATAGCAGTATTCACTGTCGATATACTTAAAAATATTATGTTTTCATATTTAGTCAAAAAGTATTTTCTTTTCATTTAATTAATTTCAAAATAAAACAATAAATCAAAAGTGACTGCAAATCACATAATATAGTGATTGTGAACAACGAGTTCATTGTATGGAGACTACAGTACAGCCTATGAGTAGCCGTTCCAACAGTGAGACCACTGATAGCCTCCCGCTATGG